GTACTATCTCGGAAAAATGTAGTATGAAAGCAAAGAAGAACGCTACCGTCGAGTACCTCGACTATCCGGTGCCCGTTACACAGCTAAAGAGACCAAAGGGAAATGGAGATATGCAAAGCAAAGCGAGACTGAAATGCGCTACCTACCTGCGATCTCAATATATGGTTATGTGGGCGGTAGACAGATTTAAGCGTTATGGGTGTTAGAGTGGGCGTGTCAAACTTTTTTTTGGGGTTAATCGATAGGTAATGACGAGACATACATTTCAGTTAAAATGTTTTATCTAGCATGATTTTCGATTTAGCGTCGCTTGTGAACGGTTGTGTTTACTCTTGTGCTCTGAATTTTTGTCTATTCTGTGATTTTTTGCGAGTGTTTTTGTTTGTTTATTAACAACCTAACCGCTGGGTTAGTGTGTTTAGTGTTTTTACTAGATCTCCCAGTGATTATAGTTATTTTAACATTTATATTAGATTTGTTTAATCTCCTAGCTTTGTTAGTGTAATTTTTATACTCACTAAACTTGCTAAAACTCTTTGATTCTCACTCTCTCTCCCGCTCTATATTACAACTGTAACTTAAACTCTCTCTGAACCTACCAAATTTCTGGTAGACTTTTGGTGTGCTATTCTCTTGTCTCTCTCTCTCTCTCTCTCTTGCTTGCTTTACATTGTAACTGTTCCTGCGTAAAGTTGTCAGTGTCCCACAAGCAACGCTCAGTCGATAGAAGATTTATTCTCTCGTGCTCTCTTACATTTAAATTAATACGCGATCTCGCGCCCTTATTTTTTTTCGTGTTTTGTGCCTTTGTGGTTTTGGAATTTGATCCCAGTGCCAAATTTACTTGAGGTATTTTTCATATATTATTTTATTTTATTTAATTTCCTTAAAATGGCTCTTGTCTGCTCTAAGAACAATTTTACTCTTTCGTCTTCAACTAAAGACCCATTTATTTTCTGTTGGCTCTGCGAATCGATGATGCACGTTAAATGCGCAGGATTTACTGGTAGAGTCAAAGACTTCATTGATCAAAATTCTGGACTCATGTGGTCATGTGGATCCTGCAAGGAAATGGTTGTTGAGATGAGCGGCTTTATGAAGCACACTCGAGACAGCCTTTTGAATCTCTCTGGTGCTTTTAATCAGCTCAATGAGGGGTTCAATTCCGTTTGTGCCCAATTTAATAATAAACAAGGAAGAACGCAATAGTCGAGTACCTCGACTATCAGATACCCGTTACTCAAAGGGAAATGGAGATATGCAAGCAGCAAAGCGAGATTAAAATGCGCCACCTACCGGCGGTAGACAGATTAAAGCGTTATGGGCGTTAGAGTGGGCGTGGCAAATTTCAATCGATAGGTATTGACGACACCAATACATTTCAGTTAAAATTTTTTATCAAGCATGCAAATTGTGGGCGTCACAGGTTTTCGCGGTTTGTGGGCGTTTAAGTGGGCGTGGCAAACTTTTTTTTAGATCAATCGATAGGTATTGATGAGAACAATACATTTCAGTTAAAATTTTCTATCTAGCATCAAAACTGTAGGAGTTACAGTTTTGGGCGGTTTGTGGGCGTTAGAGTGGGCGTGGCAGTCTACTGAAACAAACTTGCGCTGCGTAAGAAGCTCAGGAATCTGTACGCCAAATCTCAATAGCCTAGCTCTCATAGTTTCCGAGATCTCAGAGTTCATCCGGACAGACAGACGGACAGACGGACATGGCTAGATCGACTCGGCTAGTGATCCTGATCAAGAATATATATACTTTATGGGGTCGGAAACGCTTCCTTCTGCCTGTTACATACTTTCCGACGAGTCTAGTATACCCTTTTACTCTACGAGTAACGGGTATAAAAATTACTAACTGAGTCGCCTAAACGTAAAAAAACCAGCTTAGCGGCAGTTAATACGGTCACGGTATCCACCCAAAATCCGAACTTGGTGGCTGCAGCAGTCTCTGTTGACACTGTGGTAAGTGAACCTACTGCGCCTATGGATACAGCTGTTTCAGGTGAAGTCACTGCTTCTCGAAGTCGGGTGGTAAAAAAATCTTCAGTGCCGGCTACGGTGCCGACCGTACCTATAGGTACAGAAGTTACCGTTTCTGGCTCTCAGCTTAGTGAGGTGCAATCTGCTACTGGGGGACCTAAGAAATTATCAGTTGTTCCACATAGAAAACAATTATTTGTTTCGAGATTCACCCCAGATACCACATCTGAGGATGTTTTGGAATTTATTCGTGAAAAATTCCCATCCGAGAATATTTCAGTTGAACAATTTAAATTTTCATATGCTCGTAGTATATCGTCTTTTAAAATATTTGCTCCGCCTGATGTGTTTAAGGTACTACTTTCTGAAAGCTTTTGGCTTAATGATGATTTAGTAATAAAAGAATTTGTTCCCAATAAACCGAGAACAAATAACAGACCTTCCACTGCGCCAAAAAACTAAAAAATTTATTTTTGGCTTATCAAAATGTTAGGGGACTAAATATGAAGCTACCCAAGCTTTATGCTGACTCCTCTGCATTTACTGCTGATATTTTGGCTTTTACGGATACTTGGCTGAAACCAGAGATATCTGACAATGAAGTTCTGTCAAACAATTTTAATGCCCATAGGACCTCACGTAGGGGAGGCGGTGTGCTGATTGCCGTTAGCACTAGCCTAACATCCGAGAGAATTCACTCTGATACTCCAAATGAAATTGAATTTGTTAGTGTGAAAGTTTCCTTGCAATCATTCTCAATATTTGTTACATGTTCCTATATTCCACCTGGCTCTGATTTAATAATTTATGAGCACCACCTGTCTGCGATAAAATCAGTTCTATCCCTTCTTTCTAACAGTGACCTTTTGATTGTTTTGGGTGACTTTAATCTCCCTGATATTTCTTGGTCTCCTCCTACTGACTCACTAGTTGCTATACCTCTATCCGCCCATGATTTTGTAGATGGTCTTCTAGAATTATCGTTACAGCAAGTAAGCTTTATACGGAATTCATTAAATAGACAACTAGATCTTGTGTTTGTTTCAGACCCGTCTGAAGTCACGGTATCTAGAATTGACGCTCTTGTTGTACCTGAAGACCGATATCATCCAACAATGGAATTGACAATCTGCCTCCCATGCGTTGATACCCTCTCTCCTTTAGTTTCTCAAACTAAAGTGAGATGTTTCCGAAAATGTAACTATAAAAAACTTAACGACATGATTTCTCAATATAATTGGACAGAATTGTACAATTGTATGGATATTGAAAGTGCCACTGAACACTTCTATATAGTGTTAAATACCTTTTTTAGTGAATGCGTTCCTGATAGGTTTCCTTCAAAGACAAACAGGCCACCTTGGTTTACCAATGCGCTTCAAAGACTTAAAAACCTTAAGACAAACACTTATAAAAAGTATAAGAAATCGGGTAAGCCATCTGATTTTTCGAAATATGTGGTGGCTCGATCGGATTTTAATGTTCTCAATAGTCATTGCTATTCTATGTATTTAAGTCGATGTAAATTTGAATTTTCAAATGATCCGAAGCAGTGTTATAACTTTGTCAATGCCAAGCGTAAGTCGTCAGCATTGCCTTCATCGGTACGTTTTAACTCAATGGAGGCATCGACGGATTCTGAAATTGCTGATTTATTTGCCGAGTTTTTCCAAACTACTTATAGTTCGGCTGCTTGGTCAAATTCTAACTACCCTAATCCCTTAAATAAGGCAAATTGCATCTTTACCCCTGAAATTACGGAAATTTCTCTCGTAAGAGACTTAGAAAAAACAACGCCAACTTATTCTCCCGGTCCTGATGGACTCCCCGGGTGTGTGCTTAAGTTTTGTGCGTCAACCATATGTAAACCGATTCTTAAACTTTTTAATTTGTCTATTTCATCGTCAGTTTTTCCTACTATCTGGAAGGACTCTTTTATCATTCCACTTCACAAAAAGGGTGCGAAGGCGGATGCCCAGAATTACAGAGGTATTTCTAAATTGTCGGCAATTCCTAAAGCATTTGAACGTATTATTACTTCTCATTTGCAACATTTAGGTTCCTCGCTAATATCACCGTGTCAGCATGGTTTTGTTAAGCGAAGATCGACCACCACCAACCTTCTGGAATTGTCATCTATTGTAATAAATGGATTTAAGAATAAAATTCAGACTGACGTTATATACACAGATTTTAGTAAGGCCTTTGACTCTGTCAACCACTCTCTTCTCTTATTCAAATTAAATCAGCTTGGGTTTCCATGTAATCTATTAACTTGGATTTCAAGTTATTTGAATGGTAGGACTCAGAGGGTTATATTCAAGAACGCTGCCTCAAAACTGATCTATGTGACATCTGGAGTGCCTCAGGGTCATTTGGGCCCTTTGCTGTTTACTTTGTTTATTAACGATCTTCCCTCTATCATAGCACACTCTCGTGTACTAATTTATGCTGATGATGTTAAGCTTTGTTTATCACATAATGATATAACGTCGGGTTTCAACTTACAGCCAGATATTGATTGTTTTCAGGGATGGTATGAGTATAACCTTTTAAATTTGAACTGCCTTAAATGCAACGTTATGACTTTTCATAGGGGTACTCCTACTTTTGTTAGTTACTCTCTTCAAAAAACGCCACTCGACCGTATATATTCAGTTAATGACTTAGGCGTTCTTCTGGACCCAAAACTTAAATTTGACTGCCACATAATGTCCACTGTCAGCAAGGCCATGAGTGTTCTTGGGTTTATAAAGCGTTGGTCAAAAGAATTTGATGACCCTTATACAACCAAATTATTATTTACCTCCCTTGTCCGTCCTATTTTGGAATATTGTTCTTCGGTTTGGAGTCCACAATATCAAGTGCATATTGACCGTATTGAGTCGGTACAAAAAAAATTCTTCTTTTTGCCCTTCGTAGTTTGAACTGGGATCAAAACATAAGGCTACCTTCCTATCAGAGTAGATTACTATTGCTTAAGGGGGGCACTCTATGAAACGGCAGAAAAGATTGTCAGTTTTCTTCTTTTTATTGTAAATCAACCAAAAAACACAGGATATTCCCGTTTACAATATCTTTAGACATAAGTCTGAAGTTAGGAAAACAAGGTTTTGTTTGTAAAAAAAATTAAAAATGGCGGACATATTGAACATCGCCCACGGCTGGTTTTAAAAAAGTCTCCCCGTCCTCACGATATCGTCTCAAGTTGAAGTCTGAAACATACAAATTATATATCAAATTAATCAGCAGGCTTGTCTCAAGTGCATGAACTTTAAAAACTATTGAAATTTTTTAAAATTAGCAACAAAACCATATAAAAACAAAAAAGTGAATTTTGGCTCTGTTGTTTTTATTGAAAAAACATTGAAAAAAAAATTTTTTTCATGCATTTATGTGGTTCATGCACTTTTCTGTTCAATATCCTACAAAATGAGTGTTCATTTTTGAAAATCGGTTCAATGGTTTTTTTTTTTATCGTGAAGACGGACTCTAAAAACGTGGTTTTGAGAAAACGCGCGACGCTGTAGTAACGAACACCTGGCATGACTATGCACGAGCAAATTCTAGAAATTATATCTCCGAAAGTAATAGGAATTAGACTTTGAAACTTTGCAATTATGTTCTCAGATAATATATCTATCGATTAAAGCAATAAAAAAAAATCGAATTTTTGAACCCATTTCATAGAGTGCCCCCCTTAATTTACCTACCCTTGCAAATCGTAGAACAATGCTTGGTACTATTTTTATGCAAAATCTTATAAGAGGTGATATTGATTCTGTAGAACTTGTAAACCGCCTAGCTTTCAATGTTCCTGTTAGACTAACACGAAATTATTATCCCCTAAATTTGCCACGATGTACATATAATTTTTGTCTGCACGAGCCCTTTCGCGTTCTATGTAATAATTATAACAACCTTTATCATTTAATTTGCACTTCAACTTCTATCCCGGTATTAAAAACTAATATTTTAACTCATTTGCTTCATTCTTAGATGCTTCTTTTATTTTCATTTGTGTCCCGTCTCTATTTGTTTTTTGTATCTTCCTCGCGAACTCGTATTTTTTGCCCAAATTGATAAAAGGGCCCGCGCGTAACAAGCACGTGCTTGGTGTCGTTGTTTGTACTGCTCGTAGTGCATCAACGTCCATCATTAATATAAAAACAAAAAAAAAAAAAAAAAATTGTGGGCGCCACAGATTTGGGCGGCTTGTGGGCGTTAGAGTGGGCGTGGCATATTCGCGTAACAAACTTGCGCTGCGTACAAGGCTACGGAATCTAAATCAAATCCCCATTCTTTGTCTTTAATAGTTTCCGAAATGTCCGCGTTCATACTTACGATATTTTTTAAGTTTGTGGACTGCACAAGAAGCTCAGAGATCTACCTACCAAATCCCAACTTTCTAGCTTTTGTAGTTTCCGACATCTCGGTGTTCATCCGGGCGGACAGACAGACGGACAGACGGTTATAGTTATTTAGTTATGATCCTGATCATAAATATATGTATATATTTAAGCTATAAGTATAATTAACTTTTGTTTAGTCAAAATATTCCGGCAGGTCCTTAAAAGTTATTTTCTTCAGGTTATTTAATCGTTTTAGTCGTTTTTTTCGCTAACCACGTCTTAAGAAAAGATTTTTTTTAATTCTTTTGTCACTTATTCAGCATTTTGAAAGATTCGTTTGAACGATAGATTTTTAAATATATTTATTTTTAGTAATTTTAAAAATTAAAACCCCAAAATGTTTTGTCCGAGATTCTTTTTTCTTAAGTCCGTCAGAAATTAAAAATTAATTGTTATCCAATTCCTTTGTTCATATTGTCAATATCGTTCGTTTTTTGAAAAGAAAACATGAAATAGTGATTGTTTTTGCATAAAAGTCTATTTAACGCCTTAAAAATTAAATTTGAATTGTTTTAATAACAACGACTTACTAATAAGAAATAGTATGCCCGCATGGGAAATGGGCAATGGGACAAAGGGTTAACCCGCGATTCGGGAAAGGGAAAAGGGCGAAAACAAATAAACGCGGCCAATTAATTAATTGTTTATTGTTTTTTGTAATATTTTGAAAAATTAGTTTTGCGGACACAAAATAGTGTTAGATTCCGAACACTTCGGATTTGCTTTCTTCTACCTGTTACATACTTTCCGGCGAATCTTACTCTACGAGTAACGGGTATAAAAATGTGGTCGCCAGACCGCATCTTAGATATAAAATAAATAAATTTAAAAAAATCTTATTGTTTCCAAGATCACAGCGATCACACGGACTGACAGGCATGACTATGTGGTCGCCCTACATATATTAGGTGACCGATCCGGCTCGTTCCGACCTATATACTCTCTGCAATAAAATTAGACTTTTGGGAAGGATTCATACCGATAGCTTCAAAACTGTGTGTAGAAACAGACAGACGGAAAGCCTGACAGACGGAGCGGAAATCATCTTCTGCAAGGGTATAAAAATAAGAGCACAACTTATTTTTAAAAATGGAGCTTACCATCAAAAAATTACAATTTGTAAGTTTTTTTCTGTATAGCGGTATTAACCAATCAAACCAGAGCTTATTTTCTTAACATACTCTTACACTTAGTGCTATTGGCTATAATGAATTGGAGATGATTAATAACCAGGTCAGGACCCTAGTTATAGAGCAATTGGGACCCAAAGGTTAGGTTCGGTTAGGTAGGAGTGGTTGGAGACTAAATATTAGTCCCCTCACTTTGGCCACAATGGGCCCCTTGTGATACCACATGATTTCTGAAAAGATCCGTTTCCCTAGCTCATGGGTTATCTGCTTTCGCGAAGTATTCTGTTTTTCTCAAGAAACATAGTAGTTTTTGAATGCTTACGTCCTGAATGGCCGCAAGGTTCGGAAGTGTGTAGCTACCTAGGGTTTGAAAGCGCTTTAGGTTATGCGCTGGGCAGAAGCATAGGAGGTGTTCGATGCTCTCCTCTTCGTCGACCCAAAACTTATGAACTATTTTTCATCTGATCCCTAAGCGAATTGAGGTGTTTTAGGTTACCAGCATGAACAGTCTTTAAAAGAATCGAAGATTTTTAGATGGGTTATGATCAAGTGAGTACACAAGGGACTTTACTACCGAATTATATCTTTGCTATCTTGGCGGTGATCCTGGCCGGATTTTATTGCTGAAAGATTCATTGAAAAATATTTTGTATTCAGCTTGGGCTAGGAATCACTATCTTATTCAAAATAACATTATAGGCTGATTCATAATTGATGTAACCCTTGTATTGGACTTACTTTAGTATGGAAAAACAAGTACATGTCAATAGAATGGACCAAGCATGATAAATGGCTGCTGTGGTACTATGTTTTTGGTTTATTTTAATGTTTAAAGGATCCCTAACTTTTAAAAAGGGTCCCCTTTAAGCAATTTAAATATTGTCCGCATTTAGGACATGCATTTTTTTTCAATTCATGTTTTTGAAATTTGTTCTATAAAACATTACATAATGATTTTAATATTCGCTCTTTTTTTTAAGAACCATTTTTTAAAGCCTCTTTCCACAGCGATCCATCCACCATTTACCATCCGTTGTACGGATGGTCCATAAGGTTATGCCTTTCCAAAATTATCCAGTTAGTCCGCCAGTAAAATTTGATGGTCTTTAACGGATGTGATGTTTTTTCTTCTTCACAGTGAAAATTAAAAAATTCACTATGAAAACGTAAACAATAATGACAGGGAACATTTACAAATGGAAGGCGCATAAGCTACGGGCTTCGTTCAACAAGCCAGATCAGCTGTTATCGGATGGTAGATGGTGGATCTGTGTGAATCGGAGTTTTATATATAAAAATTGAAGACGCAGAGCAACATGCTTGGTTGGATTAGGCACAGGTCTTCAGATCATCTGTTATCGGATGGTAGATATGGATATGGAAGTGGGTCACAGCTCGGTTTTATTTTTTTCTTAACTTGTCATGATATATGATTTTAATCTTAATCTAAGACAACCAATCAAAACGTTTTCCTCGACCGTTCTTCACACACTTTTTTTTTTTTTAAATATTTTTCTATTTTGACGTGGAAAATTGTTCACATATCCTTACATTGCCAGATGATTAAGAGGTCTGAAGGTTAGAAAATGTAAATTGTAGTCAAATCTTATTTTATAAGATTTATGCATCCTATACAAGAATAATACCTATAAAATAAGATTTGACTAAAGTTTTCAATTTATGCATCCTATCCAGCAATTATTTTTTCGGTAATTTTTGACTTTTCTTAAAGTGGGAAAAGATTATTTTTTTAACTAATCAATATAATAATATACTCTTCTTATAAGATAATATACCCTTTCTATATATTCTTTAAAATAAAGACCGTGTGGCTTAGTGAAGCTATATATTTTTTTTCGCAACTGAAGGGTTTTTTAAATACACTTTCTACATTCGTTGCGTAAATTGTTTGCCTTATATATTAAAGGGTAATAGTACATTTCAGAAATTCTTGCAGAGAATAGAGAAATACATACTCGTACATGTGAGTGCAATATAAATTAAAATCAACTGTTTTGTTTCTGCTAAATTTTAATACCATAAGAAGGCATGGGAAAACCTAAACCTTAACAGCGATATACTGTAAAATTAGATTCGAATATTCGAAGCGAATAATTTGTAATTATTTTTGTCAGCCAAAAGGTAATGTCATGTAAAGAAAGTATGGGCAAAAAGTTAAGGCTATATTTTTTAAAACACAAAAAAACAGTCTCAAATTACTCATAGGAAGATAGCCTTTTAATTGGTAACCGGCGCTTGTCGTTGTAAATTTACAGATTTATGATATTTATACCCGAAATATATAATACATTTCAGTTAAAATTTTTTATCTAGAATGAAAATTGTGGGCGCCACAGGTTTTCGCGGTTTGTGGGCGTTAAAGTGGGCGTGGCAAACTTTTTTTTTTGGGTCAATCGATAGGTATTGATGAGAACAATACATTTCAGTTAAAATTTTTATTCTAGCATCAAAACTGTAGAAGCCACAGTTTTGTGCGGTTTGTGGGCGTTAGAATGGGCGTGGCACTCTGCTAAAACAAACTTGCGCTGCGTAAGAAGCTCAGGAATCTGCATGCCAAATCTCATTAGCCTAGCTCCCATAGTTTCCGAGATCTCAGCGTTCATCCGGGCAGACAGACGGACAGACGGACATGGCTAGATCGACTCGGCTAGTGATCCTGATCAAGAATATATATACTTTATGGGGTCGGAAACGCTTCCTTCTGCCTGTTACATACTTTCCGACGAATCTAGTATACCCTTTTAATCTAACGGGTACAAAAGGCAAAAAACATCCAAGAAAATCTGAGCAAATGAAGTGTTAAACCGAAAACCGTTAATAGTGCTTTTTTTGTTGCCGCATAATTTACAACTTTTTTGATAAATGTATCGAAATTTTAAAAACCATAAGCATTGTGGGCGTAACCACTTTTATTTTAATTAATTGATATGTAACCCTACTTACCCTTACAAAAAGAATAAAAATATTGAAAAAAAGACCATATTGTAGCACAAAGAAGAATTGCCTACACATTGGTGCTATTTTTGTTGCCGCAGCTGTATTGGTCTCGTCAATACCTATAGATTGACCTAAAAATAAGTTTGCCCACTCTAACGCCCACAAACCTCCCAAACCTGTGGCGCCCACAATTTCCATGCTAGAAAACAAGTTATAACTGTAATGTATTAGTCTCGTCGTATTCCTTTTTTAAAATAGTTTTAAGCTATTGGTTATATAATACAGAAAATAATCATTTTTATTGATAGTAGGCCTTTCGCCCACGCAGTTTTTCAAATCATCTGAAGTTGTTTAAAACGTTGAAACATATGAAAAATACTAAATGTTTCGAGATGTCTCGACTGTAACTGTGTCGTACGTAAGCGCAATTTATTCAGATCCATGTGGCTACACATTAAAATTAACATTCAATTACATAATGACATTCATCCACATTAGGGCAGTCCAAAAAATGAAATCTTGTTCTCACCCCATCACATGGTTGATTAAAGTGTGCAAAAAATGTATTCAAAAATTAAAAGTTTTCTCGGTTGACCTTAAGACCGTGCGAAACGTCCTCAAAGTTTCGTTTAAAATTACTCATAAGACATATATTCCAGCCATAACTTTTTCAAGAAGATCGATATCCCCTTCCCAACTTTGTCAACTCTCGTATCTCGGTCAATGTGAAAAAAAATTGACGACAAAGACCGAATGGTTTATGGAGGGAAAACTAAAATCAGAACTAGACACAACCGTCTTTCCATCCATGTCAGGGCCACCTATATAACACATATACATTTGATTAACTTCAACAGTGCGTATGAGTTATAAGCTTTGAAACCAATTCGCAGACCCTAAAACGCGTCTTTTTTTAAAAAAATTTCATTTGGTATACTTTTAATTCCTCAATGCGCACCTTATAGGCACATGAGAGTAGGACCTTAAAAATATACATACAAATGCGGACCGCCCTAATGCACATGTCTAATGTGTTTAGATTTCGAGTTAGCTCTCACAATGACGCTCAATAAAACTTAATTTCCCCAACGTTGACTTTATCAGTCTGAGAATTTTAGCCGGCACCCGAGAAAATGGTCTTTAAGAAGATAAAAAAATTATTATATCCTTGCGAGGGTATTATGATCTCAGTCAGAAGCTTGCAACGCAGTGAAGGAGACGTTTCCGACCCCATAAAGTATATATATTCTTGATCAGCATCACTAGACGAGTCGATATAGCCATGTCCGTCCGTTTCTACGCAAACTTGTCTCTCAGTTTTAAAGCTGTCGGGCTGAAACTTTTCCAAAAGTCTTCTTTCTTTTGCAGGTAGTATATAAGTCGGAACCAGCCAGATCGGTCAACTATATCTTATAGCTCCCATAGGAATAATCGAAAATTTTTTTTTTTTTATTTTATATCTTTGGTTTTTTTCACATATAGCCTCCAACGCTTGGAAATAACATTTTTTAATTAGTTCTGAATTTCGAATTTAATTTTATCAAAATCAGGCGACTATATCATATAGCTGCCATAGGAGCGATCGGAAAATTGGTGTTATTTGAGATATTATCTTATAGTATTGGGAATATCAGTTTTTGTATTTTTAAGAATTTTGAATTAAATTTTATAATTTAACTGCAAGGGCATTTCTTGTTGTAACTAGTATTTTGTAGCCATTCGAAAAGGACAAGTGCATTTCCTTTGGGAGGTGTAAATACAAAAACATATATAGTAGCATATTTGGGTTAAAAGTATTTTCTTAACTAACTAAAACATTAGTACCATCTGCAAGGATACACAAGGCAAAAAAGAATATATATCTTTTAATTTACAACTATAATGTCACCCATTAATTTTGCAGAATAAATGAATTGACTTGTGAGGTATAAGAATTGAACAGTTTATTAACTAAGGCGTCTGTTGACATCGTAAAAATTCAAACAAAAAAATCCGATCACAAATCGAGACGTTTACCATTTCAAAGTTACTGTCTGACACCATTTATAATAAAATAGATTTTATTTTGATTTTTTCTAATTTGCGATATTAGGTCGGTACAGCTTTGCGCCTAACATTTTCATTTCAGTATTGGTCAACGTAAAAGGGCTCATGTTATTTCCTTGGGCAGTGTTGTGAAACTTTTGTTTTTAAAGTTACTAGAATAATCAATAAAAATTATTTAATCAAGTGAACATATAATAATTAAGCTAATAATAATATTGAAGAAAACTTTTACAGAAAATGGTGTCAGTAATAAGTATTTGTAATTCGTGTATGTATATTTGTTTATATAGTTTGAAAAGTTGGTCCCAAAAAAAAAAAAAAAAAGCTATAATATGTTCAAAATCTATGGTAAAATCGATTTATTTTAATTTTCAAAATTTGATATGTTAGTTCGGTAACGGATTTGAGCCCGAAATTTGAATTTTAGTATTGATAAACGTAAGGGGGTTCATGATATTCTTTTAGCCAGTACTGTCAAACTTTATTAACTTTTTGGAAATGTCAATAAAAACTATTTAAAGAACTTTTCAACGATTTCAATATGTTAAGTGGCGGTCTTTATTACGTAATCAAGTTAAAAAGTTCGTTTCCAAAAGCAATGCAAAAGATAAGTTAGGATGAATCGTCGAATTTTTTACAACAATGACCTCATAACTGTTAAAAGCTCAGGTGCATGAATGCAAGTGGGTCCCTTTTAAGCCGCGTATCGAGTTGAATGTTTTTTAATATTTGTGAGTACGTTATGGAATATGCGCTAGACGACAAAAAAAATCTCCCCAGACTTCAAAGCTTGGGTGAACTGAAAGAACGAGTCGTAAATAACGCCATAATAAGAGGGAAACGCATTTTATGATCTGGCGTTTGAAAATTCTTCATGCTTACATGAAAATGACTTCAAATTCACATCAGACAACCTTCGAGTCCAAAATTGATATCAAAGTTCTCAATTAACATTTGCAAATAAAAATCATAGTGGAGCTGCTAGTATTATGGTTATCATAACCATATCATAAGGTTAACCCATACATGATCAACGTGTTTACTTTGATAGCTCAAATTATGATTCTATTTGATGCGTAATAATAAAATAAATAATAGATCTTTTTAATGAATCCTTATATACAACTTTTTTGTTGTTGTATAAAAACAATAGACTAAATACTCAAACCAAGTTTCCCAATCTGTTTTATCAACAGATATATAGGATCCAATGTATTTGTTAAATGATCTACGACTTCGTTCTATTGCTTCTAATGTTTGGTAGTTAATGTTGTTTTTTAAACACAAGTATTTTCACAAATCTTCAATTATTGAACTTTTATATTCAGTTTAAAATGGTGATTTTTTTATATTTGGTTATTTTTGCCCTTTGATATTTTGGGCATTTTTTTTACAGTTTAAAAGCGGTTTAAAGCGATTTCATAAGGATATTTTATTGGACTTGTTATAGCATTAAAACCGTTTTTTATTTTTATTCAATTGTATCTCGTTGTGAACGGACGTGTTTTTAAAACCTCCGAAGAAAATTAAGTTTATACCTAGTAGTTTAGGCCGAAAAATCTAATCTCCGGTGTAAAATTGGAACAATCTCGTGTTCTCACTGTGAACATTGTAAATCTGCACCGCCACTGACCTTGCAAAGTCTTAATCGATTTAAAACAATTAATAATCACAAACTTCGAACTGCACTTGTTTTGTGGTTTTTGTGCATAAAACCCGGCATATGAATTTGTGTGTGCGAATCAAACTTCGATTTACCGCCTTCCTTCTTTGACTCCATTTGGCTCCATCTACCAAGCGTCTGCGTAGCAACAGCAACAACTACGTATCGTAGTTAATTTACATACTCCGACACATTTTACCAATACCTGTCCCTAGTAAGATTTCGTTGTATGACCAAGTCTCTGTACCAGTTTTCTCTAAGCATGACCTCATCTTTCTGACGTATGATTTGACCTTAGCTTATAATTCTGACACTTTCATATTTAAATTATTATAAAGATGTTAACTACACTGGCCCAGCACCAAGTGGACGTCAACGATCTGAACAGGAAGTTTGTGCAATTCGATGTACCTGAAGCTATATGTAACAAGTACCTGAATGCCTTACCAGACTGTGATAATAGATTTACCTTTATGTGTGTTAGACAATGTGAAGTTCTTGAATGTTTACTTAAGCTAAAGTCAAACGCTGAAGGCCTGGATGGCAATAGCCCTAACTGTAATAAATTGTTGTTACCTTTAGTCCTTAGCCATATTAGACACATTGTGAACACAGCAATTACCACATCCACTTTTCCCTCCGCATGGAAGTACGCGAAAATTGTCCCTATACCGAATTCGGACCCATATCTCTACTTCCTTTCTTGTCAAAAATTTTTATACCCGTTACTCGTAGAGTAAAAGGTTATACTAGATTCGTCGGAAAGTATGTAACAGGCAGAAGGAAGCGTTTCCGACCCCACAAAGTATATATATTCTTGATCAGGATCACTAGCCGAGTCGATCTAGCCATGTCCGTCTGTCCGTCTGTCTGTCCGTCCGGATGAACGCTGAGATCTCGGAAACTATGAGAGCTAGGCTATTGAGATTTGGCGTGCAGATTCCTGAGCTTCTTACGCAGCGCAAGTTTGTTTCAGCAGAGTGCCACGCCCACTCTAACGCCCACAAACCGCCCAAAACGGTGGCTCCTACAGTTTTGATGCTAGAATAAATAAACTGAAATGTATTCTTCTCATCAATACCTATCGATTGACCCAAAAAAATGAATCCTGGTGATGTCCATTTATACGCTGATGATGTACAATTCTATGTAAGTAAGCCTCTATGTCAAGTTAATGATTGTATTAGTATGTGTAATACCCTGCTTTTCATAAATTATAACTGGGCCAATGAAAACGGACTATGTCTAATCCCAAAAAAAAGCAAGTGTATCGTTATTTACAAAAAACCCTTCGACACTACGCAACTCCCGAATTTAATGATTGGCAATAGCCCACTCAAATATGAATAATCTGCAGGCAAACTGGGTATCACATTAAATAACACGTTAACATGGAGCAAATATTATTCCAAAGCAGCGAGTATATGGGCTTCTGAGACAGCTTGATTTTTGGGCATTGCGACACTCAGGATACGCAAAAATTAACTGTTGCTTGTAATTCAATCGTCCGTTATGTGTTTAATCTTCTTCGCACTGACCACACTTCCAACCTAGTTAATAGTATTCTTGACCTTAGCCTCAGTCAGTGGATTTAACTTAAGACCTTAATTTATTTTCAAAAGATTGTGTGCAGAAACTTCTTCCAGCCCAATCTCAAAGAACACAAAACTTTCTTGTCCCTAGATATAAAACCTTATGCTCGAGAAGGCAATTCATTATTAATGCTATTCGTCCATGAAACAATCTACCTCATGCACTTAGAACCATCAGAAGTGCGGCTCAGTTTATCTCTTAAATCAAAGAATTTATGCATGCTTAAAGATAGTTGCAAACTTAAACATATACTCAAATTGTAAACACAACTTCATCAATTTTTAAGTAGTTCATTTAAATTATTTATTTTATTTTAAAATTCTTTACTCAACCCGATTTGACTAATGCAATAAATATAATTCCTTACTAGTAGCGTTAGGATATAAATAAATGAATGAATCAATGGATGAATGTATGATATTACCTGCTCCTATATGGTGTCAACTTTAAAATATGTCATTACAACCTATATAATGCGAATAAACAAGAAAATTGGAAAAACTTTGGAATATAACACTTATTGCAGCCTTCTGTCCTAAAAAAACGAGTTTAAAAGAACTTCAAATCAATTAAGTTGTGTTTGCGGATTTTTCATTCCGAAAACTATTTAAATGAGTATAATTTTGTTTTTTCACATTCGTTTGGTTCCATGACTTATTTTAAATTTACAACATATAGGATAGACAATAAAACGAAAAACACCGGTATTATTGCTATAACAACTCCAACATAATATCTTTTTAAAATAGCTTTAACCGAAATTAAAGCAAACAGTGGACAATATATTCCAAGAATAATAAAAATGACTTTTTTTATTTTTTTTTTAAGAGAAACTTTGAAAATGTTGTGAATTCCAATTTTGACGTCAAATTCCAAAGACTTTGACTATGGCTCAAGATAGGGACTTTTTTAAGCAATGCCGATATGTTGAGACTAAGTTTCAGCGAAAATATTTAACATACCTCAGGGAAATAGGTATATGTGCACTTTTTAATTTTCTTTTATTTTCTCTAAAGTTGAAGGTACAGTTTTTGTAAGCATGCAGTTTTGTATTCTTATCTTTTATAAACATCCTCTTTGGGCATCATTCGTTGTACCGTTTTTAATAACATGTGCTGAAACTTGTGTTTTTAATAGGAAATAAGTATATGTGCAAATTGAGATTATTGTGTTATTGATAGCGAGTAAGCTAAGAAGTGTGATCTAAAAATATTTTTTAATCAGCGGAACGTAAGTAAAATAGATTGTTTATCCTTGTAGAATAAAATAATTAATATTAAGTTTGATTTTACGGTAGAATGCCACGTGGTTTACATTTGTCAGAGGAAGATCGCGGCATGATTAAAAAACTGGCTGAATCTGGCCAGACCATTTCTTATATTGCTGCCAGATTAAATAGGCACAGGAATACAATAAGTAACTTCTTTAAAAATCCGGAAAATTATGGAAAAATAAAGCGAAGCGGCAGGCCCACTGAAATCGACGAGCGGTGCAAGAGACAAATTCGGCGTCTAGCTGTTTATGACAACAAGTCTTGCATGGAGATAAAAGGTCAACTGAATCTTGACGTATCCAAAAGACATATAAACCAAATTTTGAACCAGAACAAAATGGTTACATATGGTTCACGCGACGCTGTACCAAGGCTATTAAAGGGTCACATAACCGCTCGTCTACAATTTGCTGAGCAATACAAATTTTGGTCGGAGGAGTTTAAAAAAGTTATATTTACGGACGAAAAAAAATTTAATTTAGACGGTCCTGACTCCTGTCAAAAGTATTGGCGCGACAAAAGGTAACCACGACAGATCTGCTATAAACGAAATCACGGTGGAGGATCATTAATGGTTTGGGCCGGATTTGGGTATGCTGGGAAGTCTCCACTTTGTTTTATACCGACTAGAACAAATGCAGAAATTTATATAGAGTTACTGGAAACTGTGCTCACCGAATTTGCTGTGTACCTTTATGGGGATGAGTGGATATTCCAGCAAGACAACGTGCCAATCCACACAGCTCGTAAAACTAAAGACTTTCTTGCAGCTAGAAAAATACCGCTATTGCAATGGCCAGCGATCAGCCCGGACCTAAACCCAATAGAAGATCTTTGGGGAATACTTTCTAATAAAGTTTACAAAAATGGCCAGTTCGACACAGTTAATGACCTCAAAAAGGCTTTGATCAAGGAATGGGATCAAATAAATCCGACAACTCTACAAGACTTGGCAACTTCAACGCCCAATCGGATTAATCAAATTTTTATTAAGAAAGGAAAATATATAAATTATAAGGAAGTATATTTAAAATTGATAAAAAATTGTTCAACTTGTATTTCGAATTTTCTTGCAGTATGCACATACAAGGGTGGTCAAAAGTATTTTCACAAAAAAAAAGTTAAATATATTCATAATTTAAACTTACATCTTGTTAACTTTGGCCTCAATGGAAAGGTAATTTAAATGCCGTTTGAATGATACAATACATTTCTCAACACATTCAGTACTTATTGAAAAGGACGAATTTGTGTGAAAATGTCCTTTTTGAACTTTTTTCCTCGACTTGAAAACTTAAATTTTTTGATGCAAAAAGTTTCTTCAAACAAAAATAATAGTACCTGCAAAAAGAATTTTTCAAAAATCATTTTGCTTATATTTTTTATGGTTTTTTAAAGGTGACACTGTCGGAAAAAATTTGTATGAAAAAGAGAAAAATATGCCTAAAATGCATGTTTCTAAGCATTTTCAAAAAATCATAAAAAATATAAGCAAAATTATTTTTGAAAAATTCTTTTTGCAGTTACTATTATTTTTGTTTGAAGAAACTTTTTGCATCAAAAAATTTAAGTTTTCAAGTCGAGGAAAAAAGTTCAAAAAGGACATTTTCACACAAATTCGTCCTTTTCAATAAGTACTGAATGTGTTAAGAAATGTATTGTATCATTCAAACGGCATTTAAATTACCTTTCCATTGATGCCAAAGTTAACAAGATGTAAGTTCAAATTATGAATATATTTAACTTTTTTTTTGTGAAAATACTTTTGACCACCCTTGTATACTTATTTCATATGAAAATAAAGTTCTTTTTTTAATTTAAAGTTAATCTTAACGTTTACGAAAAATATTATTTTTTTGTTAATATGTACTCAAGCAATATAAAAAAAATGTAATCAAAAACCTAATATAATTATTTTATGTTTTTGTTTTAAATAATTTCAATGCACATATACTTCTTTCCCTGAGGTAAGTTCAATTATGTGGGGCATATAACTCAAAATGTCACAAGCATCGTTCAATTTTGTGTTTCTGTGTTATCTTCATGCCACAAATAGTTGAAATCGGGTTATCCATTAAAAAGTTATAAGCAAATAAAGAAATTGACGCTAGGTGGCGCTGTTTCGGGGTGTGTAGTTGTAAACAGTCGCACTCCCCTTAGCTTAGTATCGGGTATTCGATAGCCGATGGCATGGACTATAGCGTTTTCTCTTGTTAAATTTGTGAATCAACTTTGAGATGTCAGTCCAATGTCTACTTGATAGGTTATCTCTATGCTCATAAATTATACGGCGTGCTTTACTAAAGCTTTCTACTTGCTTTTTGCACGATTCTATTTTTTAAAAAACATTTGTAAGATTAAAGTTTTTCTCATTTTTCTTTTAATTTATCGGAAATAGATTTCCAATTTATTTAGATTTATTTGGAAACTACTTCAATACTAACTACATTGCCTATTAAGGAATTTTAATCGTAAACAGAGAAAACTTTACAATTTCCAATGGTGGAGGGGAGAATGGCAGATATTATTTTTTTTCAATGTACTCATGTTCAAGTTGGTAAATGGAAATTGGGTCTTTGTGAGTTTAGAGGATTGATATTACTCTATTATCGAAACTAGGATCATTTTTAAATGTTTGTTGTTCCATACACTTGTTGGTCTTCATCTTTACAAAACCTGTTAAGTTCTGACAAATAAACAAGAATGTTTGTTAGTTTAAAAAATCATTTGAAATATTATTTTAACATTTCCCATTTTTCTATTTATATTTTAAGCATGGTGTCCCGCTTATTTTTTTTATTTTCTTCCCAACCTTTGATAAACGATTTTTTTTTGCCTCAACGCTTACTTTTCTTTTTCTTACAACAGACTTCACTCATTGTAATTAAA